CTCTCTCCCCCTCTCTCCTGACAGTATCTCATGCAGCTCACTGATCCAGTAATGAGTGACCCGACAGTGAAGAACAAATATATTTATAACTAGTTTAGCTTGTTCCAGAGGTAGATCAAACAGCTAAGTGTGTTGGGTCTAACTCTTAGTGTGTCTTTTGCTCCGCTCACAGCGGGCGGAGCTGCAGGATTTCTGCTTCACACACGTTGCATACCGGCGGCCGATCGATCGGAGCATCCCTAGTCGAAAGCAATGCATCAGAGGCCAAGATATTCAGACTTTTAGTCGCTATACTGAGTCAAAACCAAAAAAGACTGGATCCAACATTACCCATGATGCATCTTATTGGTTTATTATTAGATCAACCTGCTTAACAAACAAATAAACTCATCTTTAAAACTTCAACCGAAGGGTTTATACACCGTCTTTGAGTCCGTCATTGAAGTCTACCGTCCCATGCCTGAATAACACTACATCTAAAGGCTAAATGTCCATGGAAAGACGTTGTGTTCGGTTGTGTTGTTGTCTTCAACGGACAAAAACATTGCCATGAAAATCAAGAACAAAAAAAGAAATGTCAAATCTTAAAATGTGCTGATTCTGCATATTTGTCATTTATCTAAATTCCAACTACTTCCTGCTTCTCTTTCGCTCAGGGTGACTGTTTGAGAGTCATAAGCATAACTATATGGGGACAGGAATATGATAAGGTCACTGACTGTACAGTTGGGCATCCAAACAAATACAGTATTATCACCAAGGGGTTGTCCTCCTTCTGGCAACAGCCCCATAATTCCAATATTGTAAAAATATGAAAATGATCTACAGCCTTATCTCCCGCAAATGTTTAATTGGAATGTTTAACATTCCCTTCTTTATTAGCCCTCTGGTGACTCGCTCTCTCCCGTAACCAGGGGGGAAAACTGATTGAGGTTTTAAAGACTCAATCCCAGTTGAATTGCAATTGCAGAGGCTTTTAATTAGATAAAGCTTGGCTGGTTTGAACATATACTTTACAGCCGTGTCAGGCTAAAAGGGTCCATGTGCCGTAAATATCACCCGAGACATTAATATAATTGAGATTAGAGGGCAGAATGTGTGGATCAGCGTAAAAAGACGGCCGCCAGTGGGACAACCTCATGCAGTGAGCTATTTATAGCAGCTAAAATGGACAGCTCCATTAATATAAGGCTTACCCTTTCTGGAAATGTAAATCACCGGGGCCATGGCTGGACGTGCATGTTATACAGCTGCAGTATGTCAGAGTTAACAGTACCGTCTTTCTGATTTACACTGGTCTGGGATAAAGCAAAGAAGATAGCTTCATATTTCCCTTAGACATCTGTTGTGTTTTAAGTCAATATGGTGTGTTAGCAATTTTCCTCTCTCCCTCTGAAAATACCCAAGCATATGGCTGCAAAGGATATATATTTTAATTGCTTGACTGTTTCGAAAGGCGGCTTGACTACAATACAGATGTCGAAAGTGACATTAAAGCCATGTTGAGACCTGTCAGTCATATTCTCTTTTATTTCTGCGCTTGATTTTTTTGTTATTCACAGACAGAGGCGATGCAAACACCAAAGGCAGTGGACGAAGCCTCAGTGGACGCTTCCACAAGGCCTGATCAATAACCTCAGCATTTCAAAACGGCATCAAATTAATTCTAACATGCCATGTTTTTAAAAAAACCACAGGCTGTGGGTTTAATTGAGAAGCATCTCACGTCGAATCAGAGGGCTCATGTCTGTTCTTTTGAAATATCTTGTAATTTTCTCTCTCTTTCTCGAGCACATCAGCCCGCTCCTTTTCTCTCTAATCCCCCTCCCCTCGGCTCTTTCTCTCTCGCTGTCTTCACTGTCTGTGAAACACTGCAGCTCAGGTACTCTGCTACTGTACTCGCATGCATGTGCTCTGTGACTCAGAGACCATGGAAGAAACCTTCAGATTGTTCACTAACCCAGAGTAAAAATAGAATTGCCACAATGTGTAAAATACAAGTGAGTTCTAGCAGCAAAACAACACTTAAGTAAATGAACAAAAATGATTATTCTTGTGTGTTTGGAGGCTTCTTAACTACAAAAACATGCATTTTTGGATGCAAGTGTTGTACTGCTCCAGGCATGAGTTCATCAATTAGCTGCCTCCAAAAAGTTATTTGTTCTATCACAGTGAGTTTGTTCTGAATTTGGTCAAAGTTAAATGATTGCTGCCTTGTAAATTGGCACTGCAGTTTAAACGCATTGATTGAAAAAGTCCACAGGGAATTACCTCGTAATTATAATGTAACTTTTGATAAAGATGGATGCAGACTTGAGGTACTTCATCTCCATATTGTACAGAAATGAATGGATGCCAATAGCTGTCTGGGTTGTATCGAAAATAAACTGACATGGTAAACTGGTATGGTGCTTTAAGTCTGAAAAGTATAATGAAGAATCATTCAAAATAGCCATTAATGTTATTACATTATGCGATCACATTTGATTATTGCAGGTGTCCCTTTATGTATTATCAGTTAATTCAATCTAACAATGCATCATACCTTTTTATGGTGATCATAACCTCAGAGGCCACCTAAAGGTACACCTGTGCAATATACTGCAAATCAAGCTAAACATATATTATACATAAGCTGCATACAAGTCAAACGTAGTATTGCAAAGGATTGGACACATGTACCTTAATAAGTGGCTAATGAGTAAAAGTACCGCTACATCTTTGTTAAATATTCCACTTAAAGTCATATGAACTATATATATCTAGTAAACGTCAATTTTTATTTTATTTTTACTACATTTGATTTGCTTTTCTCTTAAAAGGGCACAAAGTACTCCATATTACAAGCTGATTTTATATGTTTTGTATATATATATATATATATAATTTTAGTCGGAAATCTAACTAGTAACTTTACCTGCCAAATGTTGATATTGGAAAAGAATAAAAGCCTGAAATGAAAAACAAAGTCAAGTACACTTACCTCATAACTGGACTTATGTGCGACGCTTGTGAAATGTATTTTCCACCACTGCAGCCAGGCAAGCTGTTACCTCAACAGGGTGAGATGGTCAATGTCGTCGCATATAAGGACTTTGCAGACCTCTCATGCGCCATATGGTGACCTTCGTGAACTAAAAGGCCTCAGAGGGATGGAAAAAATGCTGGTTATACAGACACAGAGGACAACAGAGGCAAATATACGTACCGATGACAGTTTGAGGAACGAACAAAGCACCGAAAGAGGGTATGACGTCAGTGTATATATACAAATACAGGGGACAAGAAATGGTAGCTATTAGCAGAATTATAAAGATTATTATCTCAAAAATGGCATTAAGTGCTGAACACAAGCCAGAGGCACATATAGCATGAAATTGCAGATGAAAAAAAAGATGTTGTTTGTTAAAATGCGTCTGCTGCTGGTGAAAGCAAGGGTACATGTTGGGAAAATGACTCAACAGGCCAGTTACATAGGAACATATTAATTTCCACTCATGCAATGAACATGGAAATATAATTAATATGGGCGAGGGGAGACAACATATTTGCACAGTAACAACAAAGCCCTAATAAGAAATGGCCAGACCACGAATGCACAAATGTGGCAGCTCTATGATTAGAATATAAGGACATGAAACAAAGGACAAGCAGCTGGTGTATGCGGCATAATGAAAATAAAATGTTAATATGAATTTTTCATGGAGGAACCTGTGTGACAATTGCCTGCGTGTGCATTTTCCGACGGCGATACATTATTCAACAATTTTTTCAGTGGCTTGAAACGGCAAGTTTATTTTAACATTTCACCCGAGAAAATGCAGAATTTGATGAAATCTATGAATAAAATAATGATATAATTATGTATAAACAAGTCAAAGATGTTTGTTTTTTTCACAACGGGGCTTAAGTTCCTCAACGTGCTTAGAGGACTGCGTCTCCTAAATATTGCAGATATGTAAAATAACACAAGAGAGTAAACAGAAGGAAACTCAAATGAAATCTAACATACTTGTATATATAGTAAGCTGAGTTACCTGGTGAAAAGAGCCACTATTACTGCATCCTATAAACCTGGAGAACAGATGCAATATTAACATAGAAATAAAACACAAAGAAAGACCTCTTAGCAACTGAACAGAAAACAAAAAATCCAATCATGATGGATAATAAACCTGGAAGCAATGACGGTAATCATATTTTAACACTGATGCTTTCATCCTCATATTATTTTAATGGCTTTACTGCACGCGGTATTTTATTTTTACCTAACTGTAATTATCTGATGGATTCGGGTATATTTGTGGTTTCGTCGCTGTGGAGAAATATAAAACTGGCAATTACGCAAATAAACTATTTCCTGTGTGTGACTCTTTCTGTTCGACACTCACACCTCCACCTTCTCTATTGTTCCCACCATCTGCAACTCTGTGGAAACTCAGCGAGGGTATTTTTGAGTCAGAGCTTTTTGGCAAAGACAGAAATGTTTTATTTGCACTTTTCCGGAGAGAGACCTTAGCACAGTATTTCTCCTATAGTGATCAATATTTTTGAAAGTGAAAGCCAATAATAAAGACTGCATGCCGGCCCACTAAGTCTTAACGGAGTGTATTGAAATCTAATTTTTGGATCATAATTTGTTTAGTAGAGTTACATTTACTTACGTCCCAAGGCCTGCTTTTGAAGGACGTGACACTAAAATGTATGACGTTATTATTTTTTGTTATTTCAGGGGTCATATCTGTTTAGTAGAATCTTAATGTCCTGTGAATAAGGTGACACACATTTGGTCATACAGTATGAAAAGTACACAAAACGTTATCCTGAAACTCTTCAAGAGCAGCAATGTTCGATGTGTCTTGAGTTGTTTATTTTACTAATTAAAAGGCAAAAACTAGTTAACATGGATGTGTGTTACTATAGCTGAAAAAGTAAAGCTTGAATTATGTTGGTATTGTACATAAACTATGACATTGGAGTGAAACATGTTGAGTCATATAGCAAGTGAAAGCATTGTTTATTGTCATATGTATAGTGTACATTTAAATCACATTTGCTAAAATTGAGCAAAACACAATAAAATGCTTAAAAGAAACGATGCTACGTAGAAAAATGAAATCAAAAAGCTGTGGGTTACTTTGAACTGTTATGAAACATATTTAAATAATAATTACAAATAAATAATAACGTGTGATATTGCCCTCCTATATCAGCTATTATTGCATCTCATTGCTATCAGCTCTCTTTTTACATTTGAATGCATTATTTCCTTTGCCTTCCTATACAAAGTAAGACCATTTGTTTGTGTGTGCAACTCCTTGATATACTGTAGCTTTTGTAGCAAGTGCTAGAAACAAAATAGCCAAAAATAAGTAACAAGCTAAAGATCACTGTATGAGGATTATAAAAAAAACATAATACTTGTCAGATGTAGTAAAAAAACAGCATGTCAAAGTAAAAGCATGAAGCAAGCACTTTGGTATGAGTTCTGGAAACTTCTAAGGTTTGACAGCCGGACATATTTTTGCAACATGTTCTTGTTTAAGAAGAACGGCATATAAATCACGCTTTGTAGTGCTTGGGTCAGCGTCGTGTCCAGCTGAGGTCGGCATGACCTCCAATGTCTTTCGCACCTGCACCGACATCCCTTAATACATCCCAGTTGGAGCCATCCCCCCCTACCTTAAGCACCATACTTTGGCTCCATCTGCATCGTTTCAAACTCCACCTATTTCCTTGAAACACCCTGTAATGTTCCTCTTACCTCTCTTCTGTGTCAGTCATTGCTCTTGGCACTGCGACTGGTCTTGCTAGTCAGCACCGAGTTGAGTTCATTTAGAAAATTAGGCGGCATCATGCTCTCCGCCCCTACAACAGGTCTCCTGCCGAGGGACTTGAAGCCACTCTGGGAGGGGAGAGGCAGAGCCATGGGCTGCAGGTGTCTGGATGAGGAGGGGGGGGCAGGGCAATGCGCCTGGCCAGCATCCACTGAAGTTCTTCGGTACGGGACTTCTGGGGCCTTGAACGCGTCGTTGGGCTTCGGGTAGCTGGGTCTGGTGTTGGTCTTGGCGTCCTTTAACGGCTTTAGGGTGCTCTCGACAAGAGAGAACCTCTTGGCTGCCGGCTGAGGGCAAACATGGCAGATGATGATGAATTACAACTTGATTGAATTCAAGTCAACACAAGTTTGCTCTGCCTACAGGAGTGATTTCAAGATATTTGAATAGATTCCCACCTGTTTGCTGGTGTTGTGTTTTTGAACATTGCGGGCTTCAGTCACATCTCCCCTTCTGGCGTATTTGGGATCTGCAGCTTCTTTAGAGTTACTCGTAGTCATTGGCCACAGGTCAGAACCGTACTGGAGACAGACAGCAAGCAGTAAAATCACTAGCAAGGCTAAAAAAAATAATTAAAAAAAGTAATTGTTTAAGATATTCAATGTGAACAACAAACCAGTCTATGTTGATTCATTGCTTTTTATTTTCTCTTACAATATTACAAGTCTATACAGTATGTGTTTTGTACATTTAATGAAGAAGTATGTGCATCACATTTACTGATACACTTATAATCACATTATAATGCATTGAAACAGTGAGTTTAATCAATTATAAAATATGATTTCATATATCAGCTTTGGGAATTATAAAACAGTGTAGTCCTTGCAAAATAATGACTTTAAAAATAGGATTAACACACTTAGATATTAAAACAAATGAGCCATGTTGTAATTATTGTTATAAAGAATGATGTGTATGTGAAAGTGCTTAGAACTTTATCTGTTCAGTACTTTTTAATTGACTTGAAATAGAAATTGTTACGGAAATAGGCAACATCAGGGAAGAAGAAATTGTTGCTATGACTGTACTGGATGTTTTGGTTGCTGTGTGAACCTTTGCTTTTGGCCGGACTTACACAAGCATTTTGAAAGATGAGAGAGTCAAAGGGTGATGATCCTCTCTTCGCTGGCAGAAGAGCAGCTGTGTTCTGATCTCTAGCTAAACTTTCTCTTAAACAACTTCTGCTTTTTATATCACACTGACCAGCCAGACCTGAAGAACTGTCTCTCTTTAACAAATCTGTATTTCATCTCAGCCAGGACCTGTCCTTGGACCTCTTCGCCATCCACCACCACCACCAGCCATTCCACCTTGCTTCTAATTGAGGTCCTTCATCGCTAGTTGCTATGGAAACTGTCGGTGCACAATGCTCGCTAACAGGTAAGAGAAAGGAAATCAAGAGTGCACCGTCTACTTTCCCATCCGCACTTTCTCTCTGTCCTTCCCACAAGTCCCGTGTCCTTCCCACAAGCCCTTGCGTCGGAAACTGACAATCCTGATATTTAGCGGATTTGGGGAGGAGAATCCTAATATCTTTAGCCGGCTCAGGTCTGCTATAGATTTAGTTGTTGGAGAGATAAGAGCTTCTCCAAAGAACGGAGAGAAGTCACTGATCCCGGTGAAATAAACACCTTGAAACACTTAGAAACAACAGGCAAAAATTGGCTTCCCCTTTAGATCAATCCCTCCCTGACAGAGTTGCCCTTTTTCCTCGCTAACCTTAGGTAAGGCACTCAAAGGCTTTCCTGTAAAGACCTGTGATAAACAACATCGTGCGGCAGAAAGGTTCCCATAAAGGAAGCCGAGCAGAGGGCTAATATCGATTAAATGTGCGGAGCATGCAGTGAAATCTGGAGATATGTCGGTAAAGGACGGATGCAATGTTTAAGTTATAGTCATTTACTTGGGAATCGCGTCTTTTGTCGAACGGGGGAAACTGTTATTTCTCTGAGAAGTGATGAATATGAGTGAAAAATAATAAAATAAATATGACACATTTGTAGCTTCCCCCCCACTTTCGCTTTGCCTTGCATTATTTATGTCATATGTGCTGTGTCAGCGGCTGACAGCGACAACACTTAGCTGTATCTGGGGGCTAAGTACCACAATAAGATTGTTACAGTCGCCTTGACCTTATTCTCACAGCTTTTCCACATAAAATGATTTATGTTATTGCTGAGTGACCTCGAAAACTTTTCACTTCTCTCCCTGTTTATGTATTTCATCTGCTTAACGGCACAATGGAAAGGGATGATTGGGGGGGAAACTATGATTTATCATATCTCCTTCGTCGGGGATATGGATATGTGATTTATTCCGCTCGTAATGTTGTGTATTTTTCATCCAAATAAGGAAAGGGAAAGGAGGGTGTATCCGCAATGTGCATGTCACATTCACTGATATTTTTGGTAAGCAGTAAAGGGGTTAGAAGAAAATATAGAGCACACTTCTTCTGCACTTCTTAAGACCCTGAATGCTCATTAAATTGCTTCATCAAATGTTGGCATGAGTGCACCCCTTACTCTTGTTCTCTCTCACGTCACCTCACCTTCATCCTGATGATGTCCGTCACCCAGCTGACCTGTGCCTCCCTCGTCTCGCAGCAGAAATGCCTGAGGAGGGAAAACCCAGGCGTGAGTGACTCATTTCCACCTCGTTATTTTCACATCCATTTGAGCCAGGTGACTGCACGCGGTGATTCACGGCGCTGGGCATTTCTCCTTCTTAAGGGACAGTTCACTGATTACGTTAAATAGACATAATGAGGAGCGCTGGCTGCCACTAGTTAAAATAATGACATCAATCTGCATCTGGATATGGTGATTAGTGCTCTAAGCAACAATCGAGAATGATAATTTAAATGATACTTGTCATCTATTCTAGTTTGTTTGGAGCTATTTCTGGCTCTGCTTTAACTGCTCATATACCATAGTGACTCATATACTGTCTTTACTCATGCTATTATTTATCTGAAAATGTAGGAAAGGGTACATTTTTTGTTTGTTTGTATTTACTCTAGCACAGGTGTTTCTCAAACTTTTTCAATACCAAGGACCACTTACCATAAAAAAACCACTCGGCGGCCACCTAACTCCACAACTATCCAAAAACACATCGTTTTTCTAGAACAGATTACAAATTCGCCTGAAGATGGTACAAAACAAGTGGAAAAAATGTGTGATGAAGGTGTTGTCACTGTGCTATTCATGCAATCAAAAGTGAAACGTAATAGCTCGCTCCATTGCGGAGATATTCCTGCGAGAGTGACGGGAAACTTTAAAGTATTTTATTTATTTCAATGTGAATGTTACCAAAATATACCCACGAGTACACTAGGGGGCGCTCACGGGACCACCAGTGGCCGCGAGACAACACTTTTAGAAGCAATCTGCTCTCGCACCTTCGATCTTTCA